CCTTCAAACAACCCGTTCCTTAGAGAAAGCATTGAAAAGGACAAGGAGGAAGATAGTCTCAGCCTTTCATCTTTCTTTCTTACTTGTTTTGAATGCTCCATTCTGACAGTTTAGCACATAGCACATAGTTATTTCGTATCAGCATCTAGCACAGTAGCCAAGTATCTTCCCCCTTGAGTAGAATTTTACTCTGTTCACTTTCTGTACTACTTTAGATCAGTTCTGAAATGTATGCCAGAAATATATTAAACAGTTTGATTAGCATTCATCATAGGTGGTTCTGTCTTTCTCAAAATGAAAGTTATGTGAAAGTTTTAATTATATCTTTTAATATTATGTCTGTTTATTGTGTTTTCATGCATGAGACTAATGTGTATCTTGTAGATAGGGTGAGTTTGATGTGTCATTTTAATCTGCAGAGGCTGCATCTCAAATTTGGTTAACACTGGGAAGAGCTCTGACTCTTGTTCTTACTGGGAATCAGTTCCATTATCACCAACCTGCCCCAAAACTTAAGAGGTTTTCTTTTCCAGTTGTCCTGAACCCACAAAATTGAGTGCACTTAAGTAAAAGTACCAAGTCTCTCAATTTGGCTCACTCATTAGGGAGTATGGTAGGCTGTGAAGAACATGTTTACTTTGCTTATAGTAGTTGGTTTTGCTAGATAGAAATGTCATATTATTGAGTTTATGCTAATATTGTCCCAGGTAAACATCACTTGATTATACGGTATATCTGTTGCTGAGCTCCAACAGCAGCTTTTCTCTATAGAGTAACTAATGTGGATTTCTCCTCACTACTCAGACACTGATTTTCAGGAAGACATGAAACTTCTCCAAATCTAATGTATTTGAGATCTTTCTTAAGAAGATTTGGTTGAAACAGGCTAAGAGGTTTAAAAGTTCTGGGGAAGGGGGGAATAAAGAAAAGGGAGAAAATGGGAAGGACACAGTGACAGACAGGATGCTTAGAATGATTTGGGTTTTCCTGTTGGTGAGATTGCTGGCAGGCAAAACCAGATGATGATGAGTTACAAAGGTGAATTCAACATCCTGTGAAAAAATTCACTCTGACATGTCCTTTTCTTAACTCAGAGCATGCTCCTAGTTTGGGCCATTTTACTGAGTATGTTTTACTACATCTTATTGTTTTAAAGCCTGGTTTCTAAAGCTGACTCGCATCTCCCTCAAACACTGTCAAGGTCAATATGTGGTGGTGAGATTTTTACCTGTTGTAAACTCAGTCCAAAGTAGATGCAGTCTTGCGCCCTGTGATGACTTAGGGAATCTGTGTAGAATTTATGAATTTTATTTGATACTGAGGGTCATAATTTTGTTCTGTCAGGCTGGGAAGTCCAGAATCTCAAGGCTTCTTTGCAATGTAGAGAAGTTGAATGTTTGCAGAAGGAAGAACATAAAATAGCATTATTTCTCTTGTTAACCTCACCTGCCTCCAGCTAATCTGTTTTACCTCCCCCTTATTCCTTTCAGCCAGCATAGCAAACTGTGCAGTGCTCTCTGGGAATTATGCTGGCTCTTGCCTTTACTCATAAAAGGAGCAGGCTTGGCCCAGCCTGCTTGCTCTCAAGGGAAGCTTAGAAGCAAGAATTCATTGCTGAGTAAAGGTATTAGGGAGCAGGGGAAGAAAGCATACGCATGCAAAGTCCTGTCTACATCCAAAGTTACCATGCGCATATCTGAGTCCTCCTGGTTTCTTTCCTGTCTTCTTCCTCAGCCCTCCCAAAAACTCCTTCTGACAATTTGCCCTATCAATGCCAGATTGAATTATTCTTTTTTTTAAGATCAGGAGAGCAAAACACAGTTTTGCTCAGACTGTTGACATTTGGGATTGGTCTGGGAAGAAGCACTGAGCTGATGGGCTGAGTTGTCCTCCATGGGTGCTCACTCTCCTGAGGAGCACTATCAGCCAATCTGCCTCCTTCAGTGAACAGAAAGCAAACGGTCTCCTTTCCTGTACTGGAAGTGAGACAACTCTCCTTATACAGAAAGGTTCTGTGAAATTAAGGTGAAAAAACACAGGGGTTTTTTGTGTTTTGTTTTGTTTTTGTTTTAAGCATAGATGTTTTTCTCCGTCCTCTACAATGAAGATTATGGAAAAATACTCCCAAGAGTAATAGGGGTAAAGAAGAACAAAGAGACATGACCTAATAAAGCAGTGACTTCCCACAACCACTTGTGTTAAATGCTGCAAAAGGACAAGTGGTAAAGACTAATTCCTAACATGAGTGTTCCTGGAGCAGTAAGTGCTAGGACACACATGGTTTGTTTGTAATAAGAGAAAACACTGGAATTGTTTCAGGAAATACTAATAACTGAGCCATTAATAAAAAAGAATTGCAATATAATTAGGCTAGATGTCCTTATGCAAACAGTCTTTCCCCCAGATAAACCAACAGCCACAAAACAAAAGCCCTAGTGCAGTGTCAGGGCTGTAAGAGCTGGACTTTAAAATGAGGAGGCAGCTCCAAAAAATCCCCAAGTCAAAACACAAGAATAGAATCAGAGTACTGAAGTAAGTTGTGATGTTTTGAATATTGCTTGGAGTTCTGAAAAGTTTCCTTGCAGAGAGGGTGTTGATCTGTGGAGACACCTCCCCAGGACCCAGAACCTTAGCACATCACCTGCAGTCTCCAGACTCTCTAGCTGTGTTTGAAGGTGCCTGCACAGTGCTTTGTTTAGACTTGCTGATTTCTGAAAAATTGAAAGCCCCAATTTTGCTAGCTTCGCCTAAATTTGCCTGTATCACCAGACAAGATGGTAAAAAATGTCGAACAAAGACCTAGTGAGGAACATATACAGGTAAGTTTCTAATTATGTGTGGAAACGAAGTTACCAAATGATAATGAAATATGAAACTCAATTCTGGATTACAGTTAACAAGACTCCTTGGTTGCTGGCTGCTCAGTGCTCATCATCTAGAGCTAGGTGTTCCTCCTGGAGCATTTACAGAATCTCTGGACCAGTCAGGGCTGCCTCTCCTGGGCTTGGCCACTCACATAGTCTTTTAAAAGAATCCTGCTTCCTTTCAATATAGACAACGTATCTGGGGCTTAACTGGAGGCTTGTACCTTTCAATAGTGAAAATACTCCAGGGTGTCTTCTGAGCTGCTCACCTTCCTGTCCGAGCAGACAGGTTTTTTTGTGTTAGCTTTAAACAGCTTTTCCAGATCTGTCTGGTGCAGTCTAAGTGTCCAATGACATACTACCTATAATGAAGGCTGTTAATGGGCAGCAGGTTTTGGCCTCTGTTCTTTGGTATGGTCTCAGCCACGTGTGAAGACCTTAGGTGATGCACTGCCATTAGGAGTGCCAGAGGGTGCCTAGCCCAGCCAGCCTTCTTCCTTCTCCTTACCGTGTACAGTTTAGAGGTCCTTATGTCAAAGTGACCCACTCGCTTTGGTGAGGGTTGAGAAAAGACATGATACACTTGGTAATTTAGAAGTTATATAGTTCTCTGTGTCTTTTATTTTGGATTTAAAAAAAAAAAAAGTGAGAGAAAGCACTCCTTTTTTTTTAAGGCAATGGAAGCCCCTCTCACCTTGTGTGCGTTATGGGTCTTGCTTCTGCATATGGAAGCAAAAGTGGGTTCTTACATACTCATAGATAAATGAGGAGGGAGGAGAAAATGTAAAGGTTAGGAAAGAAAAAAACAGTTAAAATTGAAGAGGCTAGTTTAAGACAATTGGAGGTAAGAAAGTGAAAATACACCCCCTCTTTGAAGAAAGATGTGTAAATTATGCTAAGTAGAACATCTTCTAGAAGAGCTAAGAGGGTGACAGGTAGAGTTAACAATGGAAATATACGTACAAAAAGTGCATATGCAAGCTTATACCTAAGAAGCAGGACTTTACAGAAAATCGGTGCGTTTGGGAGACTTGAGGGAATGAGAATCATCCAGAAGGACACAGATACTGTAAAGAGAGTATTTGCTCAGTTTTCACCATGGTAATGTTGGGGTGATGCCTACTTTTTTGCAGCTGTTTCTAGATAGGACATTAAAACAAGCTGCTATGTTCACGAGCAGTGGTTCAGTCACAGTAATACATTTCCAGAAGAGCTGGAGGAATTTAAAAGTGAAAGCTGATGCTAAAACTATTTATTGAAATCATGAAGTCTTGGATGTGGAAGGGTAGCAAGCATTGTCTTCCAAAGTGATGCTCTCAGATCTGCTGAGAATAATTGGCATCCGTCTTGCTCTGGAATATCTGATACTAGCTGCTCAGATAAAATTATTAAACTAACTGGATCACTGATCAGTGTGACAATTTTTGCATTAAGGAAGAAACAAGCCTGAACAATAGGAAGTGGAACATTCTTGTGTTTTGAGTTAATCTTGTTGAACTAATCTTGTTCTTCAGCATGTGGTAGCGGGAACAGTTTATAGAAATGTGCTTTCAGAATGTTGTTTTTATGACTAGGTCTAGAAATCTTAATTCTTTTAATACATCCAAAGCAGAAAGCTGTATAAAATGAAATGGGATTGAGTTTTTGTTTGGTATAGACTGTTAGTAAGGTTCCAGCGAGAGCATCATAAACATCAATTTTGAAAATCATGCCTGACCTCCTGTCTTTCCAGAAGTGAAAGGACATTTTTCTTACTAGAAACAAAATAAAAAGTGGAGTCATTATGTTCTGTGTAGAGTACTTTATATGTAAAAACACTATATGATGGGAAATTGCCAGTGGCAGATGAGATTTGGTTCAGAAATACTCAAACTTTGAATTAGAAACATGAGCAGATTGCTCTAATGTATGCATGGTTTTCCTTTCACGTTATGTATCTTCTTGTAAGACTGGTGGTATGGATAAGGAATTCTAAATGCACCTTGTATTTCTGGTAAAACACACTTATCTGTGACTTTTACAGGGAAAACGTGAAGAGAATCTTTTATCACAACAACATTCTAATATTTATTTGAAACTTGGGTTTTAGATATATTTTAAGACAAAAGACAAGTTCATTTTTTTTTAACTTCATAGCCTTGCTGATGCATGGGAAAATGATATGGGAGTTCATCCTTTAAAGTTTCCATCAGAAACATGTTTGGAATTACTGCTGATACTGGGTTTGAGTACCACCTCTCTGCCACCTTCACTTCGATGCATGAACTCTTTTCAGGTAAGGAACAGCTGCTATTTTGGTATAAAGGTGTTATTTCTAGGAAAAAGAGAGATCCCTGGGGCCCGTAAACCCTTTCAGAGTTTTAGATATATTTTAAGACAATTAAAAAGTTCATTTTTTTTTAACTTCATAGCCTTGCTGATGCATGGGAAAATGATATGGGAGTTCATCCTTTAAAGTTTCCATCAGAAACATGTTTGGAATTACTGCTGATACTGGGTTTGAGTACCACCTCTCTGCCACCTTCACTTCGATGCATGAACTCTTTTCAGGTAAGGAACAGCTGCTATTTTGGTATAAAGGTGTTATTTCTAGGAAAAAGAGAGATCCCTGGGGCCCGTAAACCCTTTCAGAGTAAAGGTTTATCTTCTGTAGTTGCATGACTTTCCATTATATTAAATATAGCAATGGAGAACTTCTTGTAGTGCTCAGTTTCTTTCAATTGTATTAAATGTAGACCAAGGCAGGAAATGTCATTGGATTTTTAAACAGTGAATCACTGTTTAAATTAAATTAGATGTTTAAAGAAATTTCATCAAACTTAGGCTGGAGTAGCTAGAATCATTATATAAAATTTTCTTGGCTTCAGAAAAAAAAAAAATCCTCAGCTAAAAATAAAAATTTCCAGTGGTGAAAACCTATAAAATTAGGAGTGAAGCATTCACTGTTTTGTCCAGTGTTCTTCTGTATGTTGCTGCTGAAGTTCTCAGCCATCACAGAAATTTTCCTAAGAAAACATTGTTGCAGGTATGTTAAATTGTGATTTGTATTTATCAAGTGTCTGAAGACGTACAATTTTTACAAATGAAATACACAGACATCTCAATTCATGATGATACGGTATATCAACTCAGCCTTTTATGCTTCTGTCTTCCCTTGTAGTACATAGTCCATCAGTTGTGTATTGATGCAAATCTAAAGTAACCAGCTGTTGAGCAGTAAGCATACCTGAATCTGTGTTTGTTTTGACAGCTATAAAAGAATCAACATCTTAGTGGGACTGAGTGTCCTAAACGGTTTATAGCATGAAATCTGGTTGCTTCTATTTGTCCATACTCCCAGTTTGTAGTTAAGGCACATTTAATTAGTGTTCCTGAGTTATGTTTACTGAAAGATTACCTTATTGTAGAATTTTGGAGCCAGAAAGAACATGGTCATAAACCAAAATCAAGTAATTTATTTTAATAGAGTTACACTGATGTACAACTGCTGAAAACACATCTAGATGTTAGGAAATAAGTATGCACCTGCATTGTCTGCTCCCTTTGTATCTTGTGAGCTTGGAAACAGGGGATCTGTTTATGGGGAACTCTCGGATCCGGCAGCAGCCATTGATGATTTCAACATGATATTTTAATACCCAAGGTCAGAATTGTTATTGGGTTGTACATTCAGAGGCCATAAAATTGAAGAATCTCCTGGATGCTGGCAGAGTGAGATCGTAAAAATTACAAGCTTCAAGGATTGACCAGTACTAGTTATCCATGCAGTTGAATAGTCCATGTTTCCTATTAAGAAGTGAACATTTTGGTGGTCTAATCCAAAATAATGTATTCCTTGTCCATTACATTGCCAGTAATCTGTGGTAAAGTCTTCTCTGCTTTACCCGTGATAGGTTAAATAGGAGTCTCTTCTTCTATGCTGAGGCTGTATGTCCTGTCTTGTTTCTGTGCGTACTCAGTCCCAGGTTGCGCACTTAGGATTTCCTTTGATTTGTATATCTGGGTAGAGATAGGAAGTGACAAGTGACTGTCAACTGGTACAGATATGAATCAGTAAACTCGGGAAGGATTTTTACCTCAGAGTACACAAAACACCAGACTTTTCTTTTTTCCTTGTCAGACTCTCCATGATTACGCTTGATTGCTCTTGGTCATTTTAGCTTCGTGAGGCTGTCTCTGGTAATGAACCGTCACCCTAGAGGCCCACCATGAGCGGCCTGGAAGCGAGTCAGGGATATGGTTATGTCAGCCGTGGGGCGCAAAGGTCCCATGCATCCCCTGGAGACCCCCTGACTGCGGCCTTTCAAACTCAAAGTTCGGTGGAACCACTGAAAGCAAACGTTGCAGTGCTTTGCCGAACTTAAGTACTGTGGGGGACGGCGTCTTCCAGCACTGGCCTGCGCAGATCTTAGTTTGCCCACCTGTGTGCCAAAGTAGGTGATGTGACAATGTCCGTTCTTGGTTGCGAACGTGATTTCAGGCTGAAGATACTACATTTTGACCTGATTCCCAGTGTCTGTGCTCTCACAGCAACAAGAAAGGCAAAAATTCATAGTTTTCAAAAATCCCAAGTTCTGAAACCTGCTCTGATAAGATAATGTTATATTTTGCCAAGTGGGAGGAAAGGAAAATGGCTGTTTTAATAAACTTCTGGCTCCAAATTTCACTCTCCTTGCCAGACAGTCAATATCACCAAGTGTTTGTCCTGAAGGGCAAACACCGTCCAGGAAAATATTGTTTTATTTATTTTTGTCCTTGCGAACTTTGTTTGGATCTCAGTTTGGGAATCCATGAAGCAGAAACAAAGTTTGCCCGAGCTTTTCACTGATGCTTTACAATGGGCTGTCAGCCTTATCAGTTTTTTTTTCTGCCTTGCTTCTTTGTACTCATGTTCACTTTCTCTACAGCAAATATTAGAATTATGTGTCCTAGTTTTTCTGTATTTTTCTTGGAAAAAGTTGGCAAGATCTGCAAAGAGCTTGAATAATGATATTAAATTGTGCTATTGCCTGAGCATAAGATCCTTCTGCATTCAAAATACTGAGGACTGTGCGTCAAACAGAATAATAAAAGGGAACTAATTAAAAACTGAAACTTAATGTGTCTTAATGGAGCAATGGCAAAATGACAAAAACTAGTTTTGTTTTCTTTTGTGGTAGACCTGCAGTGGTCTAGGAAAAACTGAAATTAATTCTATATTACAATAATCCTTGTATTTGAACTGAAAACAATCACAGAGTTTCCTGTTATCCACATGTGGCAGTCTTGTTCTTCAGGAGGCCAGGCTCTCACAGCTTAACGCTGGCATCTGATTGCTGGGGGAGTTAGAAGGGGAAACGACTCCAGAAAATGCCAGAATTTTCTCCCTTCATAAGTGTTCCCACTGTTGGACTAGTGGTGTGGTGCTAAATGGACCACTAGTTTCCACTGGTGCATTTTTTATGTTCTGATACAGTATTTCAAAAATGCATCTAACAGGCAGCTGTATATGTAGTGATCTAAAAGTTACAGTTTAACTCCTGAGATCATATCAGTATAGCTTTAAAACATCCAATTGTTTGTAATTAGGTAGACAAAAATGATCTCAGCCATACCTCTGTGTTGTTTGAGACTGTATTTACCCTCTCTCTCTATTATATTACAACATTACAGTGTTTGCAAGCCAAAATTTTAGTTGGTATACATATGCATTGGATGATGTTTAGGTTGTAAAAAGCACACGAAGGAAATAAGCTTAGTTGCTAATCATCTCTGTAATAAACTCTGTTCTGCTTTGTGCTCTAGAAGTGCTCTCTGGGACTAGCTTAGCAGACTCCATATCTGTGCTGAGACATAAATTACATTTTAGTTTCCAACAGTGTGCTACTGCTTAGTAACATAATATTTGAAAGCACTTTTCAATTCCATTTTGACCCTGTGAAGATCTTTCAGTGTGATTTACGTTGCTGGAGCAGCCTGGAGGAGAGGAGCAGCAGCAGACTATGTTACATAGCTCTCTGCTGAGTTTAAGGGGATCAGTGCTCACTGCAGCCAGCTTTTAAGCTTCCCAGGCTGTTGATCCTAGGTGCTAGATAGTCTTTGGCTCATCTCTCATTTTACCTGTGCGGTTACACTGACATTATTCTGGTGGACTGTAGAGAGTTAAGTCTTAGTAAGCCTGAGCCTGGAAGCTCTTGAGGGACCAAAGTGGGCAGACAAATTCTTGCTGGTTGATGTCTGCCTCCAGGTTTACTGGAGAACATGGATTTGCAGCCCTGAGTTTCACCTTCCCAGGCTTGTAATCCCTCACCCATACTAAGGATGTCTCGGATCAAGGGAATAGGATTGACTGAGGCACTTGATATTTATCCTGAAACAATGCAGAAAGCAGTAAGAAGGGCGAGAGGAGTTGGCTACTAGGAAAGATTAAAAAATGTCTTAGCTTGCTTTTGCTCTGAGCATTGTTTTGCTGTTCTCTGTTCAGCTCTGTTACACTGTACAGAAAGCTGTGTTACCTTATTACACTCTTGATCTATTTGGCTCTCCACCTACCTGAGCTGTCAGCTTTAGGAACGGTTGGGCTTGACTTTGTGTATTATTCTTAATACTTGCAAGCACTTGTAGCTAGCACCCACCTGACTTACCGTGTACTTTATCACTGAACTGTTCTGCTGCTACTTCTCAGCGTGGTCTGGGAGGATGTGTTGGTACTTTAGAGCCTATGACACAGAACAGTTAACACAGGGAGATGCTTTAAAGTGACAAGTAATCTCTGCTGTGTTTTGCTAACCTTATCTCGTCTTTCTCTGAATTCAAGCACAGTGAACAGAAAATGTCCTGGATATTGAATTCTTATGATGATATATGGGGCTCTCACTGCTGTTATTGTGGTAAAGCAGGCGTTTTACTTCCCGTATCAAGGCAGTATTCATAAGGCCACAGGCTGCAACAAGAGTTCTCAGAGTTAAATAGATCATGGTTTTACTTTTACTTTTACAGTTGCATGAAATTGAAAGGAGATTGTGATTAAGAACTGCCAAGCAGTTTCAAAATTTTATTTGAAATAGCCCTTGATATTCTTTGGTGCTGCACCCAATGCCACTGGTAGCTTATCAGCACACTGTCCACTTTGGTTAAGAGAAGTAGAGCCAGTGTTTAATCAAAAACAAAAAGTGTTCATTCTGTTGTTGCAATAAGCATTCCTAGAGGTGTTTCTGAAGGAAAAACTCATTTGCAATTACTTTGCTTCCAACAAAAGGAGGGGAAAAAAGTTTCTCATAGAGCAGCCTATCAAGTTCTCTGTCATTTAGTGTCTTTTAATCAAGTGCAGAAAACTTCCTAAAAGCGACAGGTTTAGAGATATGAGGTAGCAAGTTGCTCAGAAAACATAAGAATGAATAAATACAGTATTCATTATAGTTTAATGGCCCTAGTATATGAG